AATTTCTAAAACCTTTTTATCCACCAAGTTTCAAAGCAAACATGCTGGACAATTTCTCATTCTCAGAAATTCTGTAAATGGTATGTTGGCTTTATTAGTAAGTAAATGGAGCTAAACAAAAAAACTGCATGATGATCCTTCAAATCACACTGTACAGAAGCTATATTCAGCCTACAAAATATGAAAAGGTATCAGCAGTTTCATTTTGGTTCCTATCAGCATTTTGCATATTAGCCACAAAATCTCTGCTTCCAAACTAAAGCCTACAATAAATACTTTCTGCTGGCCAGCCTGCTGCACTATGGTACTGAATTATCGTTTCGACAACATACATATATTATCTACTGTCACACATTAAAAGACAGAGGCTTGTATTATTTCAGTCCTCCTTTATTTTAGAATAAGAAAAAGGTACCTTAGAGCATTGATTGCTCCTCTGACTGAGTCATGGTGGTTATACGGTAACTTTTTTCTTTGCTCCAAAGGATAAGTTTTTTGAGCTGAGTTCTGTCATTTATTTTTTTTTCCCCTTTTTCCTCCTTGAAGAAAAAGATACAAGTTCTGGGCCCATACTGTACTCTGACTTTGCTCTGGTGAAAACATTATGAAAGAAACTTTAAAGATAACAAACGTAAATTCTCAGAGGAATTCCAGAAACGATCTTTTAGATCCTAACTTTCTTTTCTGAAAAGCATTTCCAGATTACTTGCAGATCAAGTGCTAAGGTAAAGCATACTTGCTTGAATGTATTCTGAGTAGGATATTTATGAAATAAAGGCAATTTAACGTGTGGCAATTTTAGGCATGAAAGTTGAGCAATAGCTGGAGAGGGTAGGGGGAGAATTCTGTTTCTGCATAGATCTCCCACCCCTCAAAGGAGCAGAGAAGATGACATCCAAAAGCAGAGAACAAGACAAACCTCAGATCAGCCAATGGCACTAGGAGCAAACCACTCACATCAGATTTACTTTCAAATTTTACTTACCTTTAGATTCTTGCTCTGTTCAAATGAGACCTCCTCGATGACCAGCAATTGCCAAACCCATTCCTTAGCTAATCATTCTATGGTTAAGAGTTCAGTCTCTTGCTTAAGCTTTTTATTTTGTATAATTAAATATTTATTGGAACAGAGCTGAATGTGATTCTCACACATTCCAGGTGAATGTAATAACCACTCTTTGGGCCACTTTGGAAGGAGCCGCTTTCTAATCTTATACTTCTGGTTTACTAAAACAGAATTGTGATTTAATCATCACATTATCCACAGAAAAAATGTGATAACTATAAGACATAGATGAAACAAAAAATCCTCCTGTGAAGGTTAAGGTAATAGGGAAAATTTTAAAAAAAATATAAAATAAAAAAATTCGTCTCTCTACCACGCAAAGCGTTTAAAACTCTTGGGTGTTCTTCAGACCAGGAATACAGCATTCTGTACAACAGCTGGGGTATTCATGATACTTTTGAAGCCAGCCTGAACAGTGAGGACTAAAGCAGTGTGGTTACCCATAGCAAACACAGAGCTTAACTGACGCTCTGCAGTTCCGCTCCTTGCCTGAAATGCTGCAATCGATTACAAGGAAAGAAAGTAGTTATTTCAGACTTGGCTTTTTACTCCCCAATTCATGTTGAGGGATCTCCTCCTTCTGCAACTCTCCACAAGTTCCAGGGCCAGCACTGTCTTATCTAGGGGAGGAGGGGGCTGCCTCTGCAGTGGTTGTCCCACTAAGGTAGGAAGATTGAAAATTAAAAGAATAGCACAACTGAAGAGCAGCTTTACATTTCACGTGTTTTTTCATGAACATGATTTTTTAAAAAAAGTTTAAAGTTGAGATAATATATAGCCAGTTATTAATTTCACTTTGTCACTTAATCATTTACTAAGTTTCAAACTAGAAGCTAAAACTTATCTGATTTGCCTCAAAAGCTGTTCAGTACACTCAAAGCTACAGAATTTATATATATATTGCCTAAAATGTATCATTTTTATTAACCTAGATGAAGATATGCAAATATCAATGCTTAATTACCATAATTTGTGTTATGTAGGAATCCACTGAAAAAAAGTGGATTCAGAAAACATGCAATTTGCTGTTGGAAAGGTGAGATTAATACAATTTGTCATGCCTTACTGTCCAGGTTTCACGTGTGACAAACTGGGGAAGACACGCTGTGTGCTGTTTATTCCTCCTAGATATATTTGTATGGCTGTAATGTATCTACTCTTTAAAGACATGAAGGGACAGGGAAGAAGTTAAAGATGAAGCTGAAGGCTGCCAGGATTTGAGAAAGGCATAATAGTGGAAAGGCCAGACAAATAAAATGGGGTCAGGACCACCTAGGTAAGCCATGGGGTAAACTTAACTGCACGTTTAATGAATGTTAAATGTAATTGGGTCCAAGAACAACCAGTTAGATACATAGGATGAAGAAATCTCATCCTGGGAGAAAGTCATTTTACAGCTGCTTAAGCACTTCTTGACAGGAAATATTTTCCCCAGATTTTCTTTGTCAGCTACACAAGAAAGCATTTTGAAATTCATTTCTCATTTAGCATACAGGAAGCATTCACAGAGTAGAGTAAATCCTAAGTCATCCCTATGATATCAAATACCTTTTAAGAAATAAAGAAATCTAAGAAAATTTAAAATGCAAGGAAAAATATTTACAGACAAGAATGATTTTATAATTTTTAAACACAAACTGCTAACAAAAAGCATTGCTCAAAGCATACAAACTTTGTGTTTGTCAACAGTTCTTTCCCTTTATATTTAAGCATTTCTCCTTCTGCACTTCATAGGTGAATTAAAGCTGCAAAATAAATCTACATTTATCAGTAACGTAAGTGATTGGAAGGACAAAACTCTGAGGTGAGAAGGCTCCAAAGCTTAGTCCCTTGAGTCTCAAGTGTCATCACGAATTTAACCACAGTTTCATCATACAATTCCTGCACAAAGAAAGTGTCTAGAAGCTGTACTAGCAGCCTCAGCTTTTACCTTTTGCTTCTTGATCTACTGACAACGTGGACTACAGAATCACCATTGGCATCTGGCTCAGGCAAAACCGTGCTGGTCTTGAAAGCAGAAAAGATACCTTTTTATTGGTATCTTCACAAATGTAAAGCTGAATTTAAAAAAGAAGCTATGAGGCTATCAAGAGATAAATCAGGCTTAAGATGAAGCATGAGGGAAATAAATGCTACCTACGTATCATGAAGGCAGCTCACTCAGGAGAATTAGTTTTGAAAAGACGAAAGAACCACAAAATTAGTTTTTAGCCCCAGTCCTTTAATAAGGATTACATCCTCGAAATAAAGGCATAACATCAAAGCACAAAACATGGCACATGACCTGATGAATAACTTAGGATACTGAACTACTGCCAATCTTAGCATTAGACTTTCACTCAACTCAAGTATTTCTTTAAATTCACTAAGTTGCAAACATTTATGGTTTTGTGCATGTTGAGATACTGCAGTGGCATTTGTGTTCATCAAAATGCAAAGTTTAGTCCTGAAGTCAAGTGTCCTGAGCAGAACAGAACCAGAAGCAGCGGGCTATGAAAGCTGCGATGAATTGTCATTCACATCACAGGAAAAAAAGCAAAACAAAACAACATACCTGCTTATAAATTACACCTTTCTCTACAGTTCCTTTCACTAAAAAAAAATATCATATACTGAAGTAAATTTTGATTGTTATCTCAATTTAAGAATAGTTAGAGTGAAAAATCTGGATCAGACTATTCACATCCACTTCTAGGCAATGCATTCATTTCTAGTGAAGGCATGCTCCTGCTAGGCTACTTCCAGAAACTACTCCAAAGTCAATTTGCTGGCAACATGCTTTTCCCTCCTTAACTCTCATATTTGATTTTGTTTATAGAACATCCTAAATCACTTAGGAATTAGTATTTGCTTACCTACATTTCACACACTAGTTCAAAAATTGACCTACAACTCTTGAAGACAGTGCAAAAGTTTCGAGGTGGCGTCTAGATTTGTAATAAAAAATAATAATCAGAGAGGCACTGAGGAGGAAAAGTCCTCAATCAGGCAGTCTTTCCAATTTTTCCCTCAAGTGAAAATTAATAATGTGCAACAGTGAGCCACTGAAGTGCTTTTGGTTTACTTAGTGTTCCACAGGTGTGGGCTGATAAGACTGCAGTGGAAAGTACTTTTTAAAATTGTCTATTCACTTTCAAAACCTCAGCTGCTACGAGTGGCCTATGGTTTCAAAAATTTTAGAACAATGCATTGAAAGGTACAGAACAAGTACCACTAATAGACAGACACATCTACTTTGATTTCTCTTTATTCAGATTAATTGAGTTTAGTCAGATGCTGCTCTCCCTAAGGCAAGTACACAGGCACTGCTAACTGTTAAAAGTAAACAGCTGGGAACAGAAAGACACAGAAGACTCAATGATGCTACCCTTCCAAATGCTGCTTTCTAGAAAACCCTTCAAGTGTGAAACAGGGAAGCCAAACACTACATTCCTAAGGAAGAGCATTTCACTAGGTTCTGTTCAATATAAAAAAAAGTATGTCAATCTCTGCATACTAATGACAGTCAGCTGCATACTAATGACATCTTTTTAAAAATGAGGATCATGGATCACTAATTGTGCATATTGTTGTCCACTCTTCCATATTGAACTCTACCTATATTTTCTTTCTTTGAAGATTTTTTTTTTTTACGAGAAGTTAAATAAATACACTAAAAAAATTCATCAGAAAGCTAGCAAAGCAGCAGCACATAGATTACCAGAATACACACACAATTTCCGTGCTAGAGTTCTGTTCTCTGCCATGCTATCCATACTTGCAGCGAGAAAGCAAAGTTTCCACATGCAATACATATATACTATTAATAAATACTTGTCATATTTTAGTAACATTATGGGAGGCTAATGGAACAGGTTAACTCCTTGGAAAGCAGCAGTGAAAATAACAGCTTGTGCAAATCTCTTATTGCAATGCTATTTAGGAGTCAGAACAATCAGAAAAGAAAGGTTCCAAAACTTCCTTTCCCATTCCATTTGAACTGATTGTCCACAATAGAAACAAACATTTCCTGTGACATTAAGTTGTCATCAGCTTCTGTGATTCCCAGTTCACTCAGTCTTTTCTTGTACATCTGACTTTTCTTTGCAGAAATAGCCTCCAGTTCACTTTTAATTTTGTAGCTGCCTTCAGTTTGTTCAGAAATCTTGGCTTGCTCATAAAGCTCCAATTCATCAGTTAGACATTCAGGTCGTTCTTGACTGAAGCCCTCTACACAGGCTGTCCCATCACCTGACTGGGTAGGCTGTGTATTCCCTAAGTTAGGAAACAGTAAGAATGTCATCAACAATCATGCAAAACAGCCAAATCATTTACAACTCCTGGAATTAAATTTTCTTCAGTCTTAACATTTTCACCTCATCCCACCCACTACTTAGTGACAGCCCTATACTCCAAATACAGTGTAAGTTGCTTAAGGAAAAGGTTTCTTCTTAACATGACTTCAAGTTGCCAAGTGATAGTGATATTAGAGAAAATAACAGTGGGTTCACACACTGCACTTAGTGACAGTTCTTCTCAAATAAGCCATGAGAATATAGATGTTACATTTTATTTACTGCAGATTAAAAAAAAAAAATCTGTGCTGGGAGCACATCTCGGCTATAATGCATGGAAGAAAATATGAGTAGAGAATTATCATGAAGCAGAAGAGCTGTCAGAGAAGCCACATCTGCTTTCTTGCTGGTTGCACTATTTTTTCTGTATGGCCCAGGGAGGCCATCCATCACACAGGCTGGACTCAGGAGAAACCACACATCGGGTACGTAAGAATTTTACAAGGGAAGCGCACACACACTGCAAAGCACAGACATTCACAGTATCTCTGCAGCAAGTTCATGCTTTGGGAAACTCCAGTGCTGAGAATTATGAAGATTTATTTCAGCTAAATCAACCTTGATAATCTTTGACACCGTCTCCCACGGCATTCTCATAGCTAAACCAAGGACGTGTGGTTGGGATGATCAAGTAGTGAGGTGGATTGTGAACTGGTTGAAGGAAAGAAGTCAGAGAGTTGTGGTCGATGGGACAGTCTAGTTGGAGGCCTGTGTCTAGTGGAGTCCCTCAGGGGTCAGTACTAGGACCAGTACTGTGCAATACATTCATTACTGACCTGGATGAGGGAATAGAGCGCACCATCAGCAAGTTTGCTGATGACACTAAACTAGGAGGAGTGGCAGACACACCAGAAGGCAGTGCTGCTATTCAGTGAGACCTGGACAGGCTGGAGAGTTGGGCAGGGAGAAATTTTATGAAATACAACAAGGGCAAGTGTAGAGTTTTGCATCTGGGAAAGAACAACCCCAAGTACCAGTATAGGCTGGGGACTGACCTGTTGGAGAGCAACATAAGAGAAAGGGACCCGAGGGTTCTGGTGGGCAGCAGGATGCCCACGAGCCAGCAATGTGCCCTCGTGGCCAAGAAGGCCAATGGCATCCTGGGGTGTATTAGAAGGGGAGTAGCTAGTAGGTCGAGAGAGGTCCTCCCGCCCCTCTACTCTGCCCTGGTGAGGCCACATCTGGAATACTGTGTCCAGTTCTGGGCCCCTCAGTTCAAGAAGGACAGGGAACTGCTGGAGAGAGTCCAGCGCAGAGCCACAGAGATGATTAGGGGAGTGGAACATCTCCCTTACGAGGGAAGGCTGAAGGAGTCGGGTCTCTTTAGCTTGGAGGAGACCGAGGGATGACCTTATTAATGTTTATAAATATGTAAAGGGTGACTGTCAGGATGACAGAATCAGGCTTTTTTCAGTGATGTCTGATGACAGGATGAGGGGCACCGGGTGCAAGCTGGAACATAGGAGGTTCCACAAAAACATTAGGAAAAACTTTTTCACTGTGAGGGCCACAGAGCACTGGAACAGACTGCCCAGGGAGGTTGTGGAGTCTCCTTCTCTGGAGACATTCAAAACCCGCCTCGATGCGTTCCTGTGTGACCTGTTCCAGGTGATCCTGCTTTGGCAGGGGGGTTGGACTGAATGATCTTTAGCAGTACCTTCCAACCTCTGACATTCTGTGTGATTCTCTGATTATTATAAAGTTTAAGAGACTTGATTACAAACTATGCAATCCAAAAACCTGGGAACACTAGTTTTAGGAGTTTCTACTAGAAAGGAGAAAAAAAAATACCTTTTGCTTGCTCTGCTGAAGCATCCTTTACATCAGAGGGCATTGTTGGTCTAACCAGGACCACACCATATCCTTCATTATTATGGATCACATTATTGCACATGGTTATCCTGGGGATGTCATAATGTTCATCTAAAAAGTTCTACAGCAAAGAAATGGAAAACCAACACATTATGTCCAGCAAGGGATGCAAAATATTCCAGTTTTAGGTAGAATCAGTTCTGTACACTGGCTAGAACTTTGCTATTTGTCTGTGCAAGTGACATAGCAAAAGGCATTTCCTTTCTGATGGATGCAAAATAAAAGAAATATACAGCTTTGGTGAACCAACTCAAAGTAAATAAGTACCATTATCATATGTGACATGTAAGAGTTCTACCATGAGGCAGCAAGTATTTCATTATTTCTAGCAGCTATAAGCTTTTGAAACACAAGTACATTCTGCCTTGAACTGACCTTTATAAGTATGCCCTCCTTGCAGTGGTGTATGCCGTTGTTTAACAGGGTGCAGGTACTGCCTGGATATATTTCCACACCAGCGCCCTACAAGATAAAACTAATAGTTCACAAATAGTTTGGGCATGTTTCCAATCTAACTTGACAACTTCATTGTCAATCTTTTCGTTTATCTACCAGTTTGCACAATGCAAAATTGTGTTACCACTCCAGCTTCAGAGCTTTGTTAACCAATGTAAGGAGCAATACTCAAGGTTGATGCCCTATGGATAATAATACTGTCATCAGTCCATAAAATCTCTGCACAGCTTTGCATTGCTTTCTTCTTCTTTAGCAATCCACCTCAACACTCAAAGTCCCATCATTCTTCAAAAGGTCCTAATAAGAGTTGAATTCCATGTTTATCATCCTTCCAAATCAATTCACAAAATGTCCCAAAAGGCATTTCATTTGCTGAGCAAATGCAAGGTTTAATAAAAAAAAAAATTATGAGCAGAGAAAGCAAAGATCACTTTAAAACTCTTACAGGACAAGAATGAGTCCAGCAATGATTATTTCACAGATGTCCCCTGCTACTACATCATTTTCATATCATCACACAGAAACTGGCATAAGACACTTCACTATGGGAGCCTAAAAAATCCCTAGTATGTATCTTTTAAACTCAATAACATGCAGTTGTCCAAAATGAATTTGTAAAGGTTCTCTCAAGAGTGACAGAAGGCACCCCATTACAGGTTGCATTCTTTCCAAGCAGAAAACTTTAGTTTAATTCAGGAAATAGGCCAGAGTTAAGAATGTTTGTACCTTGGCACCATACAGATCTGAGTTTTTCATTAATAGCTCAGCTGATGTTCGTACTGTTATGCCTGTGGTCTCACACTGTAACACACAATTCTCCAAGGTGGTTTTCCCATGATGGACATCTACATACACAGAAAACAAATATTGTTAAATGAATCATGCAAAGGCAAACCCCTCCTACAAATAGATAGGCTGGTAGCATTTTTCCAGTGTGATAAAATTACTATTTCCGTTTTATCCACTTCAGGTTAATTTTACTGATTTGCTCATGCATAGTTTGAACTCACAGCATTTTTCTAGTATAAGCACAAACAGTGCTGCACGGAAGCTCTAGTCAAAAATTTGTCTTAAAGGGTTTTGGTGGTTTTTTTAAAGTGACAGCAACCATTCTTTTCATGACATTCCTAAGAGACTTTTGAATAAGTAAGATATTAAATATATAGGTGTTCATAAACTCTAACATGTTTAAAACTAAATGCCTGTTGAGGCAAAACATTAATTACCGCCTTCGGCAAACACAGAAGGCCATGGCCAATAAACTCATTAGATACGATGTAGGATTACTTGAGCCTCAGTTTGAATGTACTGTTAGCAAGTGAAGTTCTACACTGCTGCAACTGTGCCATTTCTCAGTGGAGAGCTGGCTGGGATCAGCTACAGCTGGATATTACCATGGGGGTTCTTTGGTGGAAAAAGGAATTCTTTCCTTTTCCAGGTAGCCTGACATCAGCTATGCAGCAGTTAGAGTCAGATTGCTTTAACAGCAGAAAAATGATCCAGCCAAATCATATTAACCAAGTATAAAAATAAAACCCAACAGCCACAAGAACTTGAAAGTACAAAGAGCAGAAGTTATTTTGATATCCACATTGTAATCAGGTTAAAAAAAAAAAAAAGGAGAAGCCTTGATATTTGTACCTGTAGGGCTCCTCTCTACAATACTTTGTTAAAACTAGTTAACTGCAACAGTCCAGCTTTAACAGCCAATTATAAAAGATTCACAAAAAGGTCAAGATATTTTTATACTTACTTAAAATCCCCTCCACAGCATCATGCTGCACTAATTTCAAATTGGAGATTCTTATATTGGCTCCTGTACAGTCAACAAAGTTGTCTCCTTTCCCTCGTTTTTCTATCACGATATCATCTGACAGGCCATAGCCTTAAAGCAGAGATGAAAGATTAAAGCTCAGTGAATAACTGGTAACAGTTAGGTACTCAGTATATAACATTTAAATTACAGAAGTTTAAAACTTGAAGTCTAATATCTTGAATTTTCCACCTAGTGGTCAGGTCACACCTCATATCCTCTCTGTACCAACATACAGGCATTCAAAACCAAACTCCAAAGTTACCTTACTCAAATGACACAATAAAATACAAAGCAATTTTAGACAATTGAACAAAAAGGTAACTAAGCTTACGTTTGCCAAGGTTCTCACTCCCCAAAGTTACAACAGGGCAGGGAGATGCAGTAACCAAGGACACACAGGCACCTGCAGCCTGCTTTCAAAGCACAGAAGTTTACTAGGGCAGGCAGAAGTTCTAAAGAGCATGGGGAAAAGGCAGTCACCACCATAACGCAAGGAAGCAAGCACAAAGGACTTGATGTTGTTTGCCAGCTTCACGCAACTTCCCTATTTAAATGAAACTTGGGTCAAAATTTAATGTTCACGACCTTCCAGATTAATTCAGATTAAAAAGAAACTTTCACAAGCATATGCCAACACTGATTTACTAAGTCATCCACAGTTGTCAGCATTCAACCACTTACAGGGAAATTTATGAGCATGTAAAGCTTTTATTGCTTGTCACTGACAAGAATCATGATAAGGAAAGCAATAATGCGTCATCTAGTAAAGCAGCATGAGTCCTATCATTCTCTGAAAGCACACACAAACTCAGCTAAGAAGTACCTGAGCAGGATGTTAGCTTTTAACCAAGTACATAAATAAAAACCTTTCTACTTGCACTTTTACAGTAAAAAAAAAAAAAAGAGAAAAACCACCTTTGAATGAGAGTTGGCATAAAGTTTTAAAGACAGATTTAATGCAAGGTTAAGTGACTGATACTTCAAAACATCATGCTATCTAGAAATCTTTTCCCTCTGCTACTGGCTCATGGTCAGCCCTGAGGAGGAAGAGGAGGCACAGGGCAGTTTACTTCTAGTACACGAGAACACCACAGGACAGCAAATGGCAGGTGCAGATTTAACTTCACACCACTACAGAAAGAGGTTATTATCCAAGGCAAGAGTTTTAGGAATAATTGCCCTACAGACTACCTGCAGTTTTTCTAACCATGCTTTGAGCTTGCTTTACGCTTCACCTCTGAAGCAGAAGCTCTAGTGGTAAGAAATCCCATGACAAGAAATAGAGAAGGAAAGGTCTACCTGCTGCTGAATAATGTTCAATAAACAAGATGCTCATGGCTGTACACCCTGCCTCCTAGCTCAGTGACTCCACAAGAACTCAAGGCAATTGTCATCCAGTAATGCTGAGCACAGACATGAGATGTGCTGCTGCTACAGGCTCCCATCCAGCTTGAACAACTACTGTAAAAGCAGAATTTCTTGGGTGCCCTTGCTACACATTTTTGTCAAAGTTATCCTTACCGTGACTTCCTGCAGCTGCTACCGCTTTAACCTTATTTAGTTCTCTTAAGTTTGTATTTATCCCTAACTTACTTAGTACTGACTTGCACAGTGGCTGGAAAAAAAATAAAAGCTCTACTAAGCAAAGTGACATATCTTTGACGAGTCATCCTTCATCCCAAGAAAGCCACCAAAACAGCCAGCTGCTCAGATTAGCGCCAGCAAAATTTTTCTTAATGCTCCTACTTCAAACATTTCTGGCAGCTATTATTGCTACAAAAAAACTTCTCTAACAGGAGTCTATATAACAAGATTAAATACCCTGACATGTACTCATTAATACAAACCACTCTCTCTGAATAAAGATCGTATTTATATGCCTAGCTCCTTAAAACAGAACAGCCCATCCCTTAATAGGTGTGTTGTTACACCATTTGTATTACTGTCTCAAAGCTAGAGCAGCAATAATACCGTCTCACACAATTTTAGAACAATGTCATTGTTGCAGATAAATAAAGCAGGTCCCTTATTGTGCAGGTGCATTGTCTATCCACGTGCATCTATACAAATCATAACGAAGAGAAGGGCAAGAAAGAAAATTACACTAATAAAACAAGAAGGGCAATGAAAAAAAGTCCAGAACAGCAGGACATTAAAATCCCAGCCTTCTTCCCATTAAGAAGTTTTGACAAGATAAAAATGCAGCTAAATAAGTATCTGAACAGCTGCACAAGCCCCAGTGACAGACAGATTATTATACTGCAACCGAGTGTGCATGCTTAAAGCAGAGGAATTACACAGAGAAAATCAAGAATTGTGAGGAGGAGATAGCAACATATCCTAGACAAGGATACTTCTGTATTTAACACGTAAGTTTTTTGCGAGAAAAATGGAATCACATATGCTATGTCTGTTTCTACAGAAAAAAAAAAAAAATACACAAGCTAAATCAACAGCTCCCTCCTCGACCTATGCATTTCACGAAATGCAGATTCACAGTGGTAGCCCCCCTCCCCACCACATCACTGACATGCAGTAAGTGACATAAACCACATTCTCATAGCACTTGGCTCTAAAATGTTCACCAGGGCTGTACTGCCAGGGAGTGTCAGCATAACTCTGAAGCAGATTAAGACATACAAAGAACAAATGCTTCCACCAAACTCTGAAAAAAAAAAATAAACTAGCTCTGCATGAGTATTTAAGACATTCTGTTTTCTTCTACTGAAGGATTTTTATGCCAGCAAACTTTCTACCTTCTAGCTCAACTGAATCAGCAATGCAGAACATGCCATCTACAACATAATGTCCAGGACAGATGATGACTGTCTCTCCTTCATAACAGGCATTTACAGCTGCCAGTGGATCATTGTGAAACTGTAAGAGACAAGCAATATAATCAGCTCCTGAAGAATGCTATAAAAACAGATACATTTATGCCCTTAAAGCTTGCTTTCCAATTAATGTTGCTCCTTTTCCTTAAAAAAACCCTTCTTAATGGCACCAATAACACACAATTTCTACTTTCAATTCAAGAAACTTAGCACTCTCTGGACAAGAACAGCCTTACAACATTCCTTTGATGTCTGTGTCATGTCCATTCCCCCATGAGAAAACTGGGGCAGAGACACAGATTGAAGAGCATACGCACCAGAAGGCAGATGGCCTTGGTTCCAGGCCAACATCTGAATTGTACCTCAAGTGACTTGCCATGATTTACTGCAGAAAGAGGTGACAGAAGGTAAAGAAAATAACCCAACTCAGCTTCTAGATTTGAGCTGGTCTGAACACTGACAAAATTCTTTGCTTCTGGTGAAAGTCACTCCAAAGCACAGTTCAGATATTACGGTGGCAAATATGGGGTGGACATGGTCCTTTTTCCTGCCCAAAGAGGGCAGCTTGATATCCTTCATAAAAATTACTGGGGAATGCTGTGTTGAACAAAAAAAGTACAGGAAGTCTATACATTTATTGCTTTACAGCAAATTCCAGGGTAAGCATATTGAGAACATTTTTCAATTGTCAGGTCAGAAAATCTGATTTATAGTCCAAAAGTTAATCCAAGATCTTCCCTCTAGCTCCATTTTGGCCATATGGAATTTATGAACTTGATCAGAATGCAGCAAGCAATTTCCTTTGGGCCCAAGGAATCCAAACTATTCTTAATTGCTTAAGTGCTAAATCCTGCCTAAATTCACCTAAAACTAAACACAGGTGCTCTGAAATAAATGTATCTCCTATACAGGACTAAACCAACATAATGATATTTCTTTCTTCAAATTCTAAATTATTATTGGTAGCATCAAAAGATACAAGTACTTCAAAACTAAGTATAAGTAGTATGCCCTACCATATTTCACTGTAGAACTACAGGTTTATCTCATTTCCTGCACAGAGGAAGGAAACTGCTTGTACAGTGTACTCAGTAGACCCAAATGAATTAAAAGAAATCATTTGTATCATCCAGTCTTACCACTTATTGACAAAAAAATTACACTATGCAAATGTAATATCTGGCACCAGACAAATTAACTTATTCTTCCACATTGTTTCTTGGGCAGAACAAAGCATTAGCAGATTGACAACTCCTGCTACTGTACCTGTATTTCTAGTTCTTCACCGCAAGATTCAGGGCAAAGTTTGTCCCTTATCAATGACTGCAGCAGACTTGCCATCATAGTTGAAGATACAACATGAGTGATCCTGGTACCTGTTGGTCTCAGTCCTTTAGCCTGGAGACCGCTGTATTTTTGGTAACCAAACACATACCTAAAACAAGAGCAACAAAGCAATTGGTTCTGTCCTGGGTTTAGCTAAAAAAA